AAAAAAATTTTTTTTTTTTTTTTTTTTTTTTTAATATAATATTCCGTTTTAATATATATATATATATATTTTTCAATAGTATTATTATTCGTCATTCGCACAAACTTATATACCGGACTTCTTTGAATTAATGAGAAAACGTGAAATCAAGTTCAAAACTTTTAACGTTAAAACCTTTTGGAAAGATTTTAACCGAATTTTAAACCGAAATTAAAAGAAAAATCGAGGGGTAAGTTATTTATACAACAAATATTTCAACGAAAATGTCAATTAAAATTTTCGAATTTCCGCATTTTTTTTTTTAGTCTATTATTTTATGATTTTTTAGTTTTTATATAAATATACAGTATACTTTTATATAAGTATTTTCTAAATATTTTATTTTCTACTAAAATGTATATTTTATTTTATTTTTTTTTATTTTTTTTTTTTATTTGATTGAATAAATATTCATATAAATAACAAATCGATAATTTGGTTATTGTTTGAGGAACAGTTTATACGTTAATGTAAATAACTAAGACTTTTATGCTTACTAATTGGTTTTTGATGGTACTTTTCAAACTGCTATTTTCCTGACGATATTTTTCACTCCCTTGTTTTTAGCTAATGGGATCATAATAATTTTATACAAAACTGTAAATAAATATCATCCTAAAATTTACTGTTCTTCACGATATGTGTGTTGGTATTGTAGAGGCTGAAATTAACTAGTGAAATTATTAATTTGGGGCGCAGCATTATATTTAATTTAAGTGTATAAATGTTTTAAATTTACTATTTACTATTTACTGCGTCCAAAATGACGTTAACTAACTCGTTAACTGCCTGTTAATTTTATTGGCTAATTTATTTTATTTAGGGGAATTGAGTTAATTGATAGTGTAACAATTTAGGATCAAAGTGATAAGTGTGACGAAGTTGCAATTTTTAACATTTTGGAGTTCATATAATTACAATTATAATTTATATTTTAATTTTGGAAATTATTATTTTATTTTTATTTAAATACTAGGTAACGGTAACTTTGATGCGTCCGAAGCGTCATAAATCACATAATCATATTTTAACTAAAAAATGTAACAAAAAAAAAATTAAATAATTTGTCGCTAAAATGTGTTGCTAAAAAAATTGGGTCGTTAAAAATTGTATTACTATTACACAACAAAAAGTGTAAATAAACACCATACTTCAATAAGTCACACAAGATCGGGCAATATGATTGGTAACTTGCATGTGCAGAACCCACTTGGAGTACGAATGGAAGTGTCCTACGCTTACGCTTCAGACAATAATATACGGAATTTTAGTGATTCGTAATTTTAGAAATTCTTTTTCCCTTAAACTTTTCATTTTCGTTTTATTTTCATTTATTAAAGAATTATTTTTGTAGCTTGATGTGGCAAACGTCTTTATCATCAAAGAACTTTCTGTGATTGCACGTGTCACGCCACAGCCTCCGATCTTGTGATACATCCAATCAGATCATGATAAATATCATAATAATATTAATCAAATCATTTAATCACAAAGCCACATTTCACAAATCATATGACCACAGCAATTGGCAAATATCACATGACTTATACATTGCCCAAAATGGTTAATAAACATATTAAATATAGGCCATTCTCAACTTCATTCACACCTTATTTCATTTTGAAGTCCATTTCCATAAGTCTTAATCCTTTTGAGGTGTGATGGAACTCTTTCCGCTGATCTTTCAGTCAAAAATTTCTGGAGACGGAAAAGTGTTATTAAAGAAAAATTTATTATACAAACACACAAAAATAACCACAAAAATGGAGTCGGCATACAATTTTACAGAATATAGATATAGGTTTATAAAAGAGAGTAAAATCTTTTCTTTTATGACTCTCGAGATTCAATATCGCATACGGGAAGAGTTTTGACGAGTGGAATAGAAGATACTTTTTTGGAGTCAATAAGGAAGTCAGTATTACGTCAAAAAATGACCATCAAAGATATAATATTAGGTTGTGCTAGTGCGTCTTATGACATATACACCGGCGAAATGAAAGACTTTTGAAAGAAAAGGAGGACTTGCAAAAATGGCTGTGACAGTCACGTAAAGAGGTCAAGTATACAAGTGATGAAATAGGAAAAAATTGGACGTGAAAGAACGAATTATATCCAAGAAACAAGGCTCCATCGAGCGCTTAAAAAATGTAATTGTTAAGGAAATGGGAGTGGGTGAAGAAGTTAAATGAGAAAATGCTTCGGACAAGGAAATCAATGGTTGGGCTGGGCAAATCGTAATCATCAAAAAAAAAAGAAAAAAGGAATTGATCGTAGATATTCTAGTTTTAATTGATGATCAAGACTCAGCCAATTGAAATAAGGCACGGGATATTTTTTTTACGATGTGCCGAAGTATTGAAAGGATGACGATATTTTTAGGGAGTTATCTAAGATAGGAAAAGTGTTTAGTATTAAAGTGAAGGTTCAATATAAATACAAGACTCTTAGAGCAAATATATTTTTGAACGACAATTTTGAGAGACAATTCAAAAAATAATTCTTTCAGTATTGGTATTAACAAACATTGGATCAGATGGTACGAGGGTGATAGTATGGTGAACGTAAGGAAAGAGAGAGATCTTTGGCAGTTAATTAGGGATATGAGTAGTGAAGAAATGGATTTGTGCAAAAAGAATGAATGAGTTTGTTAAGAAGATAGTGAATAAGGATTCTTGTGCTGGTAGGTTCGCTAAGATTCTTAAAATATCAGACAAATGGAAAATTATAGTATATTTTAAGGATCTAAAATCATCAATAAAGGAAGGATTAATGGAGAAGATTTGGAAAGTGAGAAACTTTAGAGAAATTTATAGGAAGGAGAAAAGGAAGAAGGATCATAAGGTAATGAGAAGAAAGACGGAAGAAGTTAAAAAGAGGGAAATACGGAAGAAGACGATGCAGTTTTTAAGAAGTCATATTTGGACACGCCACCACCCACAAGGGTTTATTCTGAGTTAAGTGGTATTAGTATGTATCAACATGTGGAAAGTCAAAATGACGGCAATGTGGAGTCTAAAGAGGCATTGACTGTGGATGTGATTAATAAACATAGGAGTGATGGAGTTGAGGATGAAGTTGTTCTATCAACGATAATGAGTAAAGGATTACAAAAGATAACATTACTACATATGAGTTCTCGTGAAAAGCATTAACGATTACAGAGAGGCGCAACAGAAGGAAGTAAAGAAAGTTCCTTATCAAAGGTTCGAGTCGCCACCATTGTCTTCATTAAGAGTCATTCAGGAGGTAGAGCCATATAATGTGATACAAAGATATACGATGCTTAATAATGAGACGGATACGAAGAATATAAATGAAAAGAGGGCGACTAAAAGTCTTATGGGTAAGAAATACACAAAAAGACTGGGAGTAGAAGAAATAAGTTTATCTGGTTAACCATAGTTGAAGTCACGTGAATAACGTTATAACATAAATTTTTGGGGTTAATAGGATACTAATAAAGGGAGTTAAAAAAAAATAATCTCCTTTCTCAAAGAGCTAAAGAAAAAAATTACTACAAACAACAAAACAAAAAAAACAAAACACAAAGCAGAAAAAATTTATCTAATATCCACCTATCCAACAGTTTACCAGCTGATTCTTAAAAGAAGAAAGATTAAAATTAGCAAATGGTAAATAAAAATGAAAAAAAAACAGAGAAACAGGAAAAACAAAAATTAACAGGTAGACAGAATAAAATAAACGATCAACCTTATTGTATTTTATTCTATTAGCGCTATTGACTCCTTATTAATTAGGAATTGTGAAGTTTAAGGAGTAAAAGGATAAATAAAAAATGTAAACTTACCACATTGTGAGAAAACTAACTGAAAAACTTAAGAAAAAATTAGAAAGTTAATAAGCTGAAATGAACGTGAAATAAATATAAAATCAAATTTTAATAATATTTTTTTGATATATAACAAAACGTTATTTAAAGTTTCGTTTATTATTTGTTTTTTTTTTTTTTTTTTTTTATTTTTACTAATTGTTTTATGTATATATATATTTGTTTGTTTGTTTATTTATTGTTATTATTAGAACATTCACTGAATTGTTGGGGTTCANGGATTTTTGTTATGTAATGAAACGTTATTTAAAGTTTCATTTATTTTTTGTTTTTTTTGTAGGTTAAAGGAATGGAAAAAATGAAAAGGGACGGGAAATATAAAGGGAAAAGGAATGGGGAAGATGAAAGGAAAAGGTGAAAACGAAAGGTGAAGGTGAAGACGAAAGGGAAAACAACTACTAACCTTTTTGATGGGATGACCTAATCTTTATTCCTTAAAGTTTACAAAATTGTTTCCTACGAATAAAAAAAAAATATTAATAATGTTCACTAAACGGAAGTCCACTTCTAATTAATACCCACAATCCAGCATTCCGTTTCTCAGGTTGTCTTTAAAGTCGACTCTAGGAAAATACAAAGAAATATTAATATTGTTCAGAAGCTTAATATTGTTCCAAAACTGCGATTACCAGTAATGTTATAAAAAACTTGGCATGTATTTTGTTTCAAGAAAATCCAAAAAACCTAAATTTTTTAATTAATAGTAAAGAAGATAAAGAAGATAATTACTGGATCAGAATTAGTATACTTTGCTTATTCAATAATATTGACTTTCGTGAAATATTTTAATATATAAAATATATAAAATAATAAAGTTGTTTAAAAAAATACCATTAAAATAATTTTTACTTCACGATAGGTTCATTTACGAATCTTACAATTTCACAAGTTGATTAAAGAAAAAAACGGGATATTTTTTTAGCAGTTCTAAGAAAACACACTTACCAATAGTCAACATGATTCTTATTTACAGGTTAAGGAAAGGCCATTCTTATTCTATCTCCCAAACAAAAAAAAAATAATAGTAAATGAAAAAAAATTCTGAAAATGGTTCCTCTATCAACACCACTTTAAAGTATTGCTAATTATCACCGCTTGTCAGTGATTGTCATTTGCTAATGCTGGTGCAATCATGATGATCACGCACGTGGTGATTTTTTGACATTTTCACTGAAAATACAAAATAGTTGCTAGTGACATTTTTTGTTTTTAATAAAAAAATTATATATATAAAATTTTTTTTTGCATATATAAAAATATTTGACCTGATTCGGTATTAGTGATGTTGACTTAAATGTTAAAATTGTTATAATATTTATGATAATAGTTTTAGCTTGTTATTACAATTGTTAAAAGTTATAATAAAGTTTAAATGGTAATTTGTTAAGCTTAAAGCTAAAATTAATTTTTGTATACAATACCGCATTTGATTCCTAATAATATAATACAGAAATTTTTGAGTTTGTAATAAAATTAAATTTTTCATTAAATTTCTCGATAATTGATGAGATCGTATTCAGAATTTTTTGTTGATAAACCGGTAACAGATTTGTTCTAATATAAACCTAACTTATAACTCGATTTTAATCTTAAGCTTATTTACTATCTTTAAGCTTTATGTATTGAATCCGCAGCAAATTCCTCTACGCTTAGTGAGTTAATGAAAAAATGATATGTAAAACAAATGGTAAATAAATGATATAATAAAATGGGATGTAAAATAATTTGATAATCATAATTAAAATGAAATTAGTATGAAATATAAAGAATTTAGTAAAATACGTAATAATTATATTATTATTTCATTTTATTTTTATTGATTTAATTGGAATAAAGAAATTAGAAAGATATACATGATCTTTCAATCTCTCATGCTTTACATTGTAAGTTTACAAGAATAATTATAATCTTACTAATTAATAATTTAATTTGATTTGTTAAAAAAATACTGTGAATTGGAGATTCTTTTGTTGCGAAAGTACGACCTTAATATGGAGACATCCATATTTGGCGATTTTATTTATGATGATCAACTGAAATTTCTGCTGCGCCGTAAAAAAAGAACCATTTAAATATTGGGCTTTTTCGCTTTATAATTACAGTAATTTACAAGTTGATATTTCGTTCATATATTTGTTCGAACCAAAATTATAATGTCGCACTAAGTTTCAAGTTTAAACCTTATTTAGTCTAGATTCCAACTCGCTGAAATACATTTAGGCCACACAAATTCGAATTTTCGGTTCACTTCACCCGGCCGGGTCACTTTTTCAAATTTCAATAAAAAAAAGTTTATATATAAAAAATTTATCATGTGATCAGGACGTAATTTTATTGGCGGGTAAGTTTATCACGCGGCTGAAAACTTCTAGAGCGAAAATAAATTCCTCCCTTTTAAAAGTCAACCAATCAAATGTCACGATTTTATATATAAACTTTTTTTACTAATAAACAATAAACCCCGGGTCCCCGGGTTGATTTTAAATTTCAATGTTACGTGAACCGAAAAATTGAATTTGTGTGGCCTTATCTGTGTGTTTTGTTATTTATTTGAACATGCTTACACACCGTACAGTATATTACTTTGAAATTTTAATTCTATTTTTATTTGTATTTACACTTGTTTAATAACAAGCTTTTTAGAAAAATTGTAAATTTAAAATTCGCGATAAATACTATATACTACTATTAATTATTATTAATTACGGAAGAGGAGTGATCTAATAAATAACCAATATTATGTACATAGTATATGATTTTTTTAGCTTTATCATAAAAAAGATTCTTATTAAATGATGAAATTTTAGTCGGTTTAGAAATAATGATAATGTATTTAGTGTCATCTTTAAAAAATTGACAACATTATATAATTCTAGCAAGTGTTATATGAAAGAGAAAGATCGGTTATTTATTTAGTAAATTTATAAAAAAAAAAACTAATTTTCAGTTCTTGACCAAAAAAAAAAAAAATAATAATAAAATGATTAAAAAGAGTTTATTTTTTCGGTATCAAAAAATAAAATAAAATAAAATAACAAATAATTAAAAATTTTATTTTCGATTTGAAAGAACCAACCAAAAATAAAAAATAAAATCAGGTTTGAAAAAAACCGAAAAAAAAATAAATTTGAAAAATAAAAATTTCAATTTAAAAAAAAAAACAAAAATTTCTTCTGCTACCGCATCATTCTAAAAGAAGAGACATAAATTTCATTAGCAAAAATCCAATCAAAAATTTCATTAACCGGAACTGATTTAGTCACGAAAATCTTCATAAATTGTATGACCCTGACAGCCAACCAAATTATTCTAACCATAATAAATATAGAATAGATCACCCATAAAAAAAACTGATTTGTTACCATGTTCACCATGTTATACATATGATTATCCACACCTTTTTCTAAAAAAATTGTTAACATGTCATATCAACAAAATAAGGTTTGTAAAGGATGTATTATTAGAGGAATCACCAAATTTAAATCATTGGAAAAGATTAGTGATGACATTAGAGCAACCTAGAACTTGGAGAGATTTGAACCATAACACAATGTATTATGTAGTACCTTAATAGTTTGTTATAATAAATAATAATATTAAAGTATATAAATAAGCTTTTTAATTTTTTTCCAATAAAGAAATAAATAAATATAAATGGTTTCACGATTAAAGTATAATTACCAACACAAAAAAAAGTTTCTAGTTAATAGCAAAAATTTCCAGGTTTAATTATATAACTTACTTATATTTTGTTCTATATATTTTTCATTCTAGGATAACGTAAATTTATAACTATTCATAATTACGAAAATAATCCTTGTTGATCAGGCGCAGGTATGTCACAGTTTCATGTTACACAAATCAAAAATTATTTAAATAACTATTCTAAACATCCGCAGCCCGATCTTAATCTTCAACCTGGCTTAAACCTAAAAAATGAATTTTAATTGTACTTAGTAAAAGAGTTCTATTCCTTTTCTTTTGGATGTTTTTTTTAAATAAAATAAAAAATTTAAATCAATTGGCTGGATAATTTAATGGCTATACAATAATCAATAATACGAATTACCTATAAAATTATTCAATGATCAGAAATGATCTAACAAAATGTAAATTTTATTTTATTGTTAAAAAAAACCTATTATTTTTAAAATTAAATCATATAATTTACTTTATTTATTATTAATTGTTAATGGAAACTAGTACAGGCCTGAGAATTTATTTCATTAAAATTAAAAAAAAGACTTCAATTTATATATTTATTTAGTTTATTTGTTTAAACAATACAAATGAAATTAACTATAGGGACAAAGTCCTACAGTCCTACTGCATACGGCAGTAAAATTCTAATTATCTATCAAAGTTTTTCCAATATTGCAAAACACTCATATTATCAACATATAAATCAACTTTATTATCATCAGCAAGAAGTATAATTACCACCGCTACAATTGTTACTAGTTCCAACTCGAACACGTTAAACGAATTTTCTATATTTGCTTTAAATTTATTTAACATATTTGTTCTTCACTATTGTTTACCATTT